AATTTTAATTAACCATCACTTCCAATCATTTTTCTCCTACTTTACATCAAATCAACTTTAATTATTTTATTTAAATATTATTTTAATATATCTACTAACAACTAACCATACCTCTTTTTTCCAAAATTAACTATAGTTAAAAACAAACCAAATAAAAACTAGTTGAATCCATAAACAATCACCCCCTAAATATTGCATATTACACTATTAATATTTTCTTAGCAAAAAGATCATAATTTCCCAAATTATTTTTTTATGTATCATATACAAACAAAACTGATTTAGGCTTTTTCTTTTAGTTAATTATTAGGATGGGTTGTTTTGTTGGGTATGGGGCGGAATTAATGCCCATAATCTTGGTATTTACTCCTCATTTTTTGTTCTTTTAACATATGCAGCTAGGCTGAACAGAAAGGGAGTGTGCCTAGGTTCCTTGGTGTCCAGTGGGTGCTCCACTCTTGTAAACTACCAGTGATTCCTTCTGTTAATGATGTATTGTGTTTTTTGAGATTGTTGATCTGTATTAGTTGTTGGTTATTCAGGTGGTCTGTTAATCTGGCCTACTGAGATGCTAAGGGTTGCAGATTGCTTCTGGCCTTAGCATGCTTATGTGGGTTAGTATGTAGTGTTTATGTTGGTATTATAGTTGTTTTAGAGCATTCTGATGTGGGTGTCTCTCCCCTATTAGAACCAGTTGGTTCTCGGTTTGTATTGTGTAGATTCAATGAAATATAATCCTCCATTGTTTCGGAAAAGAAAAACATAAAGTATGTTTACTATCATAGCACGTCTATGTAATTTTAATTTCTTTGCTTGACGTTGTCTTTAGAGGAGTCGGCGGCGGCAGTCCACCAACGCTAGCGTATTGGATCATGGGCGCCGGACAACGTTGTCTTGTCACTCATAAATGTGCCTACAAAGACTGGCATACGAAGTGTGCATGTCAGGCGTATGAGCCTGGAACGTCGCGCCTTATGTGGTAATGGTTTGTAGTAGAATAGCTAGTCCACTATTTGCGTCTTTAGGCCGGGTAGACATTACTTCCTTATTTATGCCACGGGTCAGGCAGTGAACTTGCTTTGCCAATTCGGATGTCAACAAGGATAATATTCATTTTGAATTTTTAAAGATTTTTGGAGATTTAAGAATTTTCATTATTCATTAGTTTTTAAAAAGTCTTAAAAAATGTGAGTTACTTATTTGAAATTTCACAAAGTCTTCAAAAGTGATTGTTCAATTTATTTGTCACTTGAATTTGACTGGACTTTTGAAGAATTTATGAAATTTAAAAAACAAAATACAAATCTCACGCAAAATTCTATCTTCAGACTTGAGATCTATAAAAATTCCAATTAATTTAACAAATTCCTAAAAGTCGATTTTTAAAAAAAAAAAAGATAATAAAATATCACTTAAAATTCCAAGCATACATGCCCTTACATTTCCATAAACTTAGAAGCAAACTTTTTTGAGTCACATATCTTATGTTTGAATCTATATCTATCTATATCTATATCTATATCTATATCTATATCTATATAAAGAGCCAACCTATTTACCAAAAATAATAACAAGAAAAGTCAATAAACATTTATTACATTCTATTTTTGGCAGTTTTGAATTTCTTTTTTTTTTTAAATTATTCCCAAAAAATCAATCAGCTATATATGCACTCTAAATTCATGGGTTTCGTGGATATAATTTAGGTAAATTCGACTGATGCTTACAATTTTGCTAAAGTCAAAATTTGCTCTCATTTTTTATTAAAAAAAACTGATGACCATAAAATCGAGAATTTCGAATTGGGAAAAATACTATCACATATATTTTTTCTAATTGCAACAGATCAATTATTTATTTAAAAATCAGATTGCATATAAATTAGGTTAATTTAGGTAAAATTCGGCATGACAATTTTGTAAAAGTCAAACTTTTCTCATTTTTTTATTAAAAAAATCTATTTACCATAAAATCGAGAATTTCGAATTAGTCAAAATACTATAACATGTATCTTTACCTAATTGTAGCAGATCATGTTTATTAAAACAAAAAAATCTGATTGCATAGAAATCGGGACCAATTTCAAATTGATAATTAAAATTTAAAAATCCCTTATCATTTGGCTACTACTTTCTTTAGTTCGATTTTTTTTAACATAAAACAGAGTTAAATAATATTAATTTGAAATTCAAAATGAAATTGGATTAGAACATCCTAAAAATATGAGTTTTGTTTAATCCTCTAGAATACAAATATGAAATTGGTTGCATACACTTACACAATTTTTTCCTCTCTTAAATTAAAAAATTTACAATTTTAAAATAATAAGGCTATAGATTATCAAGAAAGACGTTTTACAATCTCCGTTATATTTGGCTATGCAATCTTAATAAAAGCAGTATAAACCATATCATATATATCCTGCTAAATAATTTAATTGATTTATTTACGCCTATCTAGACTCCTAATATAATGTGTGGCCATAGAAGATATACCAGAAGACCAAACAAATAATATTGTGTACAAGGATGTGTTTAATAATATATAAACATTTTATTTTATTCCAATACATGCGTTTTACGTTCTTTCAATCATCCAATCATCCAAATCTAAATGCTTACCTTAATAAACTAGCCCGTGCATCGCAGAAGTACTTATGTACAAAAGCCTAATGTTAGATTAGTTTTCTAATGGTGTGTTTATTTTTAAATAAACTCTATTCATACTGAAAATCTAACTATACTTTAACCTAACTCCACTGTTTTCAATATTATTAATATAATTAAACGATATCAATCAATCATTTTTATATGCCAGATTAATTTTAATTTACTATTCATCAACTAACATAATTTCAACTAGTCATCACTTCACTTTACATTATCTCTCTTCTACTTTTATATCAAGTAAAATTTAATTATTTTATTTTAAATATTATCTTAATATAAACACAAATCCCACTCAAACTAACCATATCACTTGTTTAATATATGGTTAGGACGGAATAAAAAAATGAACTCGTTTTAAACGGATATATTTATATTCCGACCTAACTTTTTGGAGTCATTTTTGTTACAAAAGCCTTAGGGTGTGTATGTTTATAAACTATTTCAATTCATATTCAAAATTTAACTCAATTTTAACTCATATCACTATCTTCAATATTATCGATATAATTAAAATAATATCAACCAGTCATTCTTACATATCACATCAATTTTAATTCACTATTCATCCACTCACATTATTTTAACTAATCATCACTTCACATCATCTCTCATACTTTTACATCAAAATAACTTTTAATTATTTATTTTAAATATTATTTTAATATAAACTCAAAATCTATACTTATATAATAAGGTGTACCATTTACGAAATTTAGTAAGTTGAAAAGTCAATGCAATAAATGCATTACTATTTTGAGCAATATAATATAATATCATATCTATACTTATATAAAAGGAGATTCTATTTACTACATTTACTATCCAGAAAAGTCAACTGCATTAAATGCCATTACTATTTTGGTATTATAATATTTTATTTATTTAATTGATTTATTTATTTATTTTATTTTAAAAAGGTAAGTATAATAAAAATATTTTAATAATAAAAAAAATCAAATACCAAATAAAAATGTACACTTTGACTTATTTGATTATATTTGGTATTTGATTATACCAAATATATTCCTATTTAGTATATACATTAAATACTTACTAAAGTATTTATTTGTTTTATTTGTCAAAGTTAAGTATAGATTTGTTTATATTATCAAGTCATAAAAAAATATTAAATCCATATTGTAAAAAAAAAATCATATAATTTTATAACAATTCTACTACACTATTTAACAATATTCCTTTTTTATTATATAATAAAATAATAATTAAATATTATATGGTGAACAACAATAAGTAAAACTGTTACTTTCTCTTATATCAAGGAATAAATTTATATGCTAAAATTAAATTTTTATTAGTATAAATGTTTTAGTTAGATAATATATTAATTATTTTACAAGCTAGCTCTAACATGCTCATATTTAATGTTTTAAAAGATGTAGAAAAAAACTTATAATAACTCTATTGTTTTTTAGACTTAAAGGTTGATTAAAAGAGGTAAAAATTCCTAATTTTTTAGACATAAACATTAATTAACACCATAGATTGAGAGTCTATATTTAGTAAAATTCCTAATTGTAATAAAAAAATTCATTTTTGCTATATTTTAGAATATCTTTAAATTCATTATAAAAAAAAAGAAAAAAAAAACTACAATGAAAAAAGCAAGTCAACCATATATCGATTTGTTGTACTCCTCAAATCAAATTCACAATTTGGCTACAAGGAAATAAAACTCATTGATTAAAATATTATTTTGTCAGTAGTCTTAATGTACAAGAGACTTTAAGACTCCACTTGAATATTATAAAACTTTTATTGAACATTGTACAATTTTCTTGCGTATTATAAATTTTTATTGAATATTGCATCTTATAATATAATATTCTCCAAATAAATATATTCCGTGTTTCGCACGGGTCACGTACTATATATATCTCGTACATTTTTCTTTATTCATGTATATAATTATAAGCCTGAATAAATAGCCTTAAAATTGTGTACCCCATGCATCGCACGGGCTCTGTATTAGTCTTACTAACAACTAACTATATCAAATTTTTCAAATTAATCATAGTTAACCAAAATACTCAGTTTGAACTAATATATTTGTATAAAAGCACACCCTTCTTAATATTTTGGATTAAGTCGCAGGAGTTGTCGAACAAATGGCCCAATCAGCCCATGATGAGGCGCCCAATTTAAGGATTCGCTCTATAGCCCACACCTACCACCGCCATTGACTCTTCTTTGTCCGAGAAAAAGCACACACTCACACCACTCCACTTTTCTACTAATTTCTTTTCCAGACCAAAAAACACAAAACAAAAGATAACGCGTACAACCTCAGCTAACCCGGATCCGATCCGGAAAATGTCGGGCACCAGCATCCACATCACGGCCCTGGACGGCATCGTGAACGTCAACTCCCTCTTCACGCTGGCCGTCTTCATCGGGCTCGCCTGGAACCCGACCGACCCGAACAACAGCCTGGTCGACCGGCCCGACTGCTCCCCGGGCCCGAATGTCGCCGAGGACCTCGTCGCCTTCCACGTCTACTCCTTCAGCTGCTTCCTATTCTCCAGCCTCGTCGCGCTCGGCCTCAAACAGGCCATCCGGGTCGCCCGCGTGGCCCACCACGACCACCGGGCCCTTTGGGCCTTCGACCTGGCCCGGGTCAACAGGACGGCACTCCGGGTCGGGTACGTGGTTTCGGCGGCGGGTTCGGTGTGCGGGTCGGTTTTCCTGATGCTGGCGCTGGTGGACGTGGTGCAGATCAAGCTCGGGTTGCTGGGGTGTGGGGCCCGCGGCGGCCATGGGTATGGGGCGGTGGTGCCGCTCCTCCTACTCGTGCCGTCTGGGCTATTGATCTATGTTTCAATTGTTTTCTATGCTTTTACTCGTTGATGAGGCTTTGAGATTGTTGGGCGAGATTTTGGATTTTTGGGGGAGGTGAATTTTCCGATGATCAAATGCAGATATGATTTGGTGCTTGATTTGTTGTATGATAATCGATGATGCTTGTTTCAATTTGATACCCATAATTTGTTTAATTCCAGTTTTGCGTAGGTTCCTTGAAAATATTCAAGGGAAAAATAGTTGTCTATGACAATTGACTTACATCACATAGGTGTCCTAATTGTATAATGAGAGAGGGAGGGTTTAATCACATTCATTTCATTGGCCCAGTTAGATGCAATGGACAGAATTTGATTTGGAAAAAGATACGCATATTTGAATATGTATATTTGCATCACTAAATTTCTATTGGGTAGTGATTAAAAAAAAAAATAACAATAATTATATTAAAAAATCGAATATAGAGTGCACCTTCAGATGTCAACTGATATCACAAGAACCAGAACAAAACTTGAGTCCACTTTTACTTGAAATTACACAATCAATCAAGGGAAGTTTACACAAACATACAAACACTCTTACCGAATGAGACAAAAAAACTCCAAATAATGAGACTAAAAATCCAGACACAACTGGACTCTAAATAAAAAAGAAGAAAAAAAAAAAGACTACAACACACACTACAAGTAGAATAATTCCTCCTCTGCTCGCGAGCCCACAAATCGCTACCGCCACACTACCTGGTCAAATTGAACGGCTAGACAAATTTGGTGAGGAATCGAGACTTGAGCGCATATCTGAGCTTTCAAAAGCTTCAAGCTAGGAGAGAGAGCGGACGCCGGGGGAGCCAACCAGACTAGCCTCGCCAGAGGAGCTGCCGACTTCAGGCCCAACCCCAAGCCCGAGAAGGGGATGACAGCGTGGAGGGACCCACCGCGTCGACGGTGTCCATCTGGAACTAGAGAAAAGGCAGTCGACATCAGGCCCAACTGGTGGGAGGAGGAGCGAGCAAGACGGAAGTGGCGACACGGAGGAGAGGAGGGCGATAGAATATGTGTATTTTTTTATTCTGAGGATAACTTTTTTAAAGAGTAGGAGAAAAAGTACTTAAAAAATTTTACTATTTTGGGAAATGAAAATTTTACATTTTGAATTTTAATGTCTTTATTGCCCTGAACATTTTGTAGTAGAAGAATAACTTTTTGTTTTTAAGACTATGTTTGATAAAACTAGCTGATAGTTGATCAGTAATTTTCGAGCTTATAGCTTATGACTTGTAGCTGAAAAACTAGCTTATATGATAAAAGTGTTAGGTAAATTAGTTGATAAGCTAGCTGAAATAAAAATTTCAACGGACTTATTTGAAAAGGTACCCAAAGAAGCTTATCAAATAAGCTCAAACGGAGCTTATTTGAATACAGGGAGCTTATAAGCTAATCAAATAAGTTATATAAGCTAGCTTTGAGCACCCACAATGCTTTGAGTCTCTTAACAAAAAATCACATGCCACATAAGAAATAGACTTAGTTTATAAAAAAATGCTTCTCAATGCAATTAAAAGTGGCATGGTCTAACTTATGTGGCAATAAAATAAAAGAGACCAAGTCCACACTTGGGACTATTTTTTACCCAAGTACAAACCCAAAGTTCCAAACACTCATCATTTGTTCTTAATTTAATTTTGCTTTTAATAAAGAAAACATATTAGAGCATTTTTATTGATTGACATGTATGCTAGACCTAGTATGTTTATTTTTGCATTGCAAAGTTTTTGAGTTTTTTTACTTGAGTTTGTCAATGTCATTTAAGACCCAAGTCCAATTATATGTTACATATACAAAAAAAGATCCAAAGTATTGTGGGTGCTCTTATTTGTCTACTAAACATAGGCTACATAGCCTATAGCTTTTAGTAAGGTATCATATTTCTTATTGTTTATACATTTTATAATAAAGATAACCTTAAACATACCACTCGTGAATCAGCACCAGTTACGTAAGTATTAATGTTTTATTGAATCGAATAACAAATGATCGTCCATGTTATTATAAGGTTATCGGATTTTTGAGCCAAGATCAGTGTTTTTTATTCTAGACAATTCGTGACCCAGTCGACTCAGAGGTCCGAGTAACAATGGATCTAGTCAAAACCAAGTCAACCAGACTTTGACCCGGTGACCCAAGTTTCAACCCGGGCTATGTCAACCCTACTTGACCCGATCACTATTATGTCTTTTTGTTTTATAAAATACATTTTTTTTACAAAAATTATATATATATAAGTGGTAAATATTTATTATGAGATATAATATTATTAAAATTTGGTGTACAGAATTTACTAAAAGTTATATATTTTTGTTAATATTATGTATGTTTAGTTGTTTACATAATAAAAATACTATATATAATTTAAAAAGATTTAAAATTAAATTATTATATTCAAACAATTGACGCGATGACCCGACTGTTGAATTGGTGACCGAAGATATGCCCGGATCAATCCGTGTGCCCGGTTTAAAAACATTGGCCGAGATTTAATTCTTTAAAATTTAAATGTCGTACATTCATTAGCCAAATAAAAAATAATCGTGATTAGATTGCAAGAACAATCATCGTGACTTTGTTTCAAAATTAGGTGATTTCAAAACTATGCAACGACATATCACGTATAGCACCCGGTGTAGACATAGTTTATGTCTCGAGTTACATGAAATGTTCCAAAATGTTCAAAAAAAAAAAAAATCTTAAAATTTTGTTGACAAGAGAGCTTTACCATATATAGATCTCAGTTCCATGAACCAGATAACAAACCTTCAATGGCCATTTATATCCCTATTATTTCGGTTATTCTGTTTTTCCAAACAAAAAATAACCATCTTTTTCTTTCTTCATTTTTAGTAACTATTATCTAGTTTCCAGTTTGGACAATTGAATCTTGTTTCTCTCTTTCTCGGCAATTCAATTAGCAACGATTAACCATGCGAAGATTGGTTAATTAGTGGTGAGTATTTTTTTTTCCCCCTCTTTCCCTCTCCATCATCATACATACAATCTTGCATCATTTCTAACAAATTAATTACATATTGATTAAGGTTTGTCTAGTGAACATAGGGAACAAGCAATGGCGTACAAGGTAGATCACGAGTACGATTACTTGTTCAAGATCGTCTTGATCGGTGACTCGGGTGTCGGGAAATCCAACATCTTGTCGAGATTCACGCGCAACGAGTTCTGTTTGGAATCCAAATCCACCATCGGTGTCGAATTCGCTACAAGGACTCTCCAGGTCATCAATTTCCATTACCTCCATCGATGTATTTTTTCCGCCTTAAAAAAAATAATAATAATAATAATTACAAAAATAAATATTTTTTTTTTTTGGGGTTAGGTGGAAGGCAAGACGGTGAAGGCCCAAATATGGGACACGGCCGGGCAAGAGAGGTATCGGGCAATCACGAGCGCTTACTACCGAGGTGCCGTTGGGGCGCTCGTCGTTTACGACATCACTAAGCGCCAGACGTTCGAAAACGTGCAGCGTTGGCTTAGGGAGCTTCGGGACCACGCCGACTCCAACATCGTCATCATGCTCGCCGGCAACAAGTCGGACCTCAACCACTTGCGAGTCGTGGCCGAGCGTGACGCCAACCTATTCGCCGAGAAGGAAGGCCTCTCCTTTCTCGAGACATCCGCCCTCGAGGCCCTAAATGTCGAGAAGGCGTTTCAAACAATCTTGCTCGACATTTATCAGATCATTAGCCGCAAAGCCTTGGCCGCGCAAGAGGCCGTGGCCCCACTCCCGGGACAGGGCACGACCATTAAGGTCGGGGACTCGGCCAGCTCGAACAACAAGGCGACTTGTTGTTCGACTTGACCTTTTGATTGTTGTTGTTGTGTTGGTTTTTGTTGTTTTTTGTGATGGGGGGAAGAAGAGAAGGTTGGTTGTGTTGTGTAAAATTTGTTGTTGTGGTGTTTTTTCTTTCTTATAGGTGAGTTATATATGTGTATAGGTGAATAAATTTCTCAAGTCTTGCCATTTTTGTTACCCTTGGTGTTCTGTTTTCAAGTCAAATTAATGTTGTTTTTCTTTATATATTCTTTCTCTGTTTATGAATTGTTCTTGCCATATTGCTTATGAAATTTTCATTCTCTATTATTCTATTCACGGTGGGCATGCGTCCATATACCCATAAAATTAATGCGAAATGAGATTAGCATATCACACATGGTGTATATGTATTTGAAAGATCAGTAAATGATCATATTTTATGAAATTTATAGGTGGTTGAATGTTGGTTTTTACATGCATGTTATTGGATGGTATGTGAATACTAGGGAAATAGGTTAGAAAATGAAGAAACCATGAATAAAAAATTAAATTCGATGCACATAACAATTACGTTTTCCTTAAGATAGATTTGTCCCGTACAAATACCCACGGTAATAGAAAGAGCTCTCAAGATGCAATGACTTTTATTTAGTATATAACAATATTGCAAATATACTAAGGGGGTGTATTCTTTTGGGATTTTCAATTACTATTTTTCAGACTTTTTATGATTTTCAGATTTATGAGGAATTCTTGAAATCTTAAGTGTGGAAGTAAGATTTGTAGTGAGATTTTGTATATGATTTTTTCTTTTGAAATCCCAGCAAATCTTAAAAAGTCTTAACAAATTATAGTCTCAAAGATGTATTCAATTGGGATTTCAAGCAACATTTGAGACTTTCTAAGATTTGATATAAATTAAGATTTCTAGATTTTGGAGAAATTATGTGAAATCCTTAGTCTAAAGGTGCGAAAGTGGGATTTCGTAAAAGATTTTTTCTTTAGAAATCTCACTAAATCTTAAAATGTCTTAACAAATCCTAGTCTCAAATAAGTTAAATGCACCAGGATTTTGTAAGACTTTTTAAAATTCTAATTGAATACCCCAAGTCTCAAATAATTTAGATTTGTTAAGACTTTCAAAAGTCTTTAAAATTCTCAAATCTAAATTAAATACACCAGGATTTCTAAAGTCTTAAAAAGTCTTTAGGAATTTTAATTAAATACACCCATATAAGTTAAACTACTCAAGTTTTTGTAAGACTTTTTAAAATCTCAAATGAATACCTCCATACTTTAAGTCTTAAAAAGTCTAAATTGAATACATTAAGATTTCTAATGTCTTTATAAATCTCAAACAAATACACTCTCATGAGTTCAACGACCAATAATAATAATAATAATAATAATAATAATAATCATTAAAGAACACAAAAACAGCATGAATTTTAAATATGCAAGAGCTTTTAAATTTCAAGTATATAGAACAATTCATGCGTTAGGGTATTCATAGATATAAGAAAACACGTCCAACAGATTTAAGAATCAAAATATATATTTCAAGATGTGCTCGGGCAGAAATAGACGCAATCAGTCAAGTCAGAAGCACTTGGGGCCAAAAGTGCAACCAAGGTTGTGCCCATGACAAGCGTCGTGACCAACAACACATGGGTCGTCGCTCTGCGAAGGGCATCATGGTGTCGTGATAAGCCCAATTCTCACAGCTAATTCTCAGCGATGAGTGTCACTGGGTCGTGATAGATGCACTGCTCTCAGACAATCAACAACACTCGTACAATCGCGAGTCCCGATCAATTCCACTGAGTCCCGGTAAGCCCTAAGAGTCCTGAATCATGAACATGTACATCATATCTCTCGTTAGCCCAATATTTGCTACACTTTTTTAGTTATTACATAGAATTGATTTCTAATTCACTATAAAATGGTTTTAAAAATAGTTCTCAGTCTTCTATTTACGAGAAATAAAACTTTAAATAAGTACAAAAACTAATTTTTCTTACATTATTTAAATCCATATGTGCATATAAAAATAGTTTTTCAAGTTATTGAACACTTCCATACGTCCTCATCAACAACAATTATCCACGTTAAAGAGTTTTTGTTCTGCTGTTTATAGAAGAGCTCTTTAGAGAGAAAATATGAAGAAATAAATTTGTTAGACGTTTCATAAATCGTAGTTAAAAATTCGATCCGATCATTCCTTAGAATGTTTGGAAGCATTGATTGACCTTATTGTCGAACTTGCTAGGCCAAAAGGGCATCTGCATCCGTTTTAATTCATTTCATCATGAATCATTATTTGTGTCTTGCACGTCATATTCACATCATCATTTTATTGAATATTTATTCATTTAAACATTTTCCTACATTTATCCACCTTTTAATTGCAATATATATAATGGTGGGCGCACCATAAATAATAAATAATATATAAATACGTCCCATCACTTCTTATTTTTCTAAATAAAAAAAAGTGAGTGCGGGTGTATTTTATTAATGGGCGTATATTAATGTCATTCAAGGGTGTTAATGAAACAAGTGAGTCCCATTTAAAGCTGCAAACGAACCGAGCGGCTCGCGAGCGTTCGAGTCAAAGCTCATGTTATCAGGTCGATCTCGAACATAAGTTTTGGAAGGTCAAGCCGTTTGCGAGCGGCTCGAGATATATAGTGAATTACTAAAGTACCTGGTATATATAAATATTACAATATTTTGTATACGTACTTAATGGCAATTTGACTTGAAATTTGAGTCGAACTCAAGCCGAGCTCGAGCAATAGTTTGAGTAGTTTTGATTTCAATCGATCTCAAGCCGAGCTCGAGCAATTGTCTTCTTTTGTCGAGTCGATCTCGAGCATCATAAATCGAGCTCGACGAGCTCTAGTAGGTAAAAAGAAAAAAGATCAATCTTGCTCGATAAGGCCAATGCTCGATTCGTTCTTGTTTCATTTGCAGCCTTAAGTCCCATCTAATTGTTGAATTTAATTAATTGCTACATCCGTATGAATGGAAGAATAGCCATTTAAATGATTGCAAATACACTGTTGAGATGCGCAACTCAATCTGATCCAAATATTTTGTTTTTCTCTTCTATTTTAAAAATAATAATTTGCATTTATGTTCACGAGATACAATATTTTTAAAATAATAATTTGCATTTATGTTCACGAGATACAATATTTTTAAAACTTTGAGGTAAAGTTTAAAGATAAATAAATTATTTTTGTAATTTTTACATATATTTATAAAATATATATATATATATATATATATTGATTTTTTTCGGCAAAATTGCGGCTAATATCATGACCTTTATCGAGATTGCAAATTAATCACAACTTTTTAACTTTTGCATAAAATATCACGCCCTTCAATTCTTTGCAAAACAATACACGATTTTCATCTGCTGCCCCAACTCGTCTGACGTGGCACTCAGAAAATGTCAACGCACCTGCTGATGTGTATTTAACAGACAAATTTTTTTTTGACAAAATTGCGGCTAATATCATGACCTTTATCGAGATTCCAAATTAATCACAACCTTTTAACTTTTTGCATAATATATCACGCCCTTCAATTCTTTGCAAAACGATACACCGGTTTCATCTGCTGCCCCAACTCATCTGACGTGGCACTCAAAATGCCAACGCGCCTGCTAATGTGTATTTAACAGACGATTTTTTTTTTCCATCTTATCCCTGGACGAGATAAAGGGGAGATTTTGGAACCCTTGGAGATATATTAGGCTTGGGTTGAAGAGAAAACAGATTATTGAGACTTTTATCTTTTATCTTTTCATCTTAAAACTCATTCTCTCAACAACTTTCACTTGGTTTTCTTTGGATTTTGCTTGGATTCGAGTTTTGGAGATTGTGGCACTCCATAACGAACACGATTTGGTTTGTATTTCGATTTCATTCTCGACTTGGATTAATAGTAATTTCCTTTCATTTGATTATGGATGTGATTTATTGTGTTGAATCTGTTGTTGGGATTGATATCAATATGTGTGGCTAAATCGCTTCGTTAGGGATAGGGGATATTTGTTTTGGTTCGATTGAGATTCATGTGTGCGTGTTTGCCATTCAATCTATTCGAGTTGTGCTTAATCTAGGGTTAGATGTTTAATCATCATTCTAATCTAGTTAATCAATTTGTAGAACCGGAAGGGGAAAACTTGATTGACCTCGGCTCGTTTAGAATAGGCTTGTTCGTTAATGTATTGTCTATGTGTTAATTGTTCGATAATTGATCGTTCATGTTTGTTCTCTTGTTACGAAGAGTTATTGAGAACAAGCCTCTAAAAGAGTATGTTATTTGATCTCTTAACCGAGCAGTTGCATGCTAATTGATTGCTTGAGAACCATAAACGAATATCTCTGACTCCCTCACTCACCAGTCAATATTTGAACTCCATTTAGAATTTGAAGTGTGTCTTGCTTTATTTTTAAAATTTGTAGTTGATAATCAAAACTAAAAACAACTAAATTAGAGTGTTTAGGATTTGTTTTCTCTTTTCATGTGATTGAATACACGTGCAATGTAATCCGGCTAACCTTCCTTGAGAGACAACCCGGTGTTTGAATACACGTGCAACACTATGTATCGTTTTGCAAAGAATTGAAGGGCGTGATATATTATGCAAAAAGTTAAAAGGTTGTGATTAATTTGCAATCTCGATAAAGGTCATGATATTATCGGCAATTTTTCCAAAAAAGAAATATCTGTTAAATACACATCAGCAAACATTTTTTAGTGCCACGTCAGACGTGTTGGGGCAGCAGATGAAAACCGTGTATCGTTTTGCAAAGAATTGAAGGATATGATATCTTATGCAAAATTTAAAAGGTTGTGATTAATTTGTAATCTCGATAAAGGTCATGATATTAACCGTAATTTTGTCTTTTTTTTCAAATAATTATTTAGTTTTGTACTTGAGATGTGACCCTATAGTTTAACCGGAGACCCCGGGAGGCCAGCCGGTAATTTTTATTGACCCGGTTTAAAAACATTGGATCAACTAGTTAAAAGGCGCTTGGTTTTGGCCCAATTTGAATTTCTTCTCTCTCCCTTTGCAAAAGCAGCAGAAATCATCATTTCCACCTTCACCTTCATCACAGTATCACACTACATTTTGAAACCCCATAATTCCAATCTATTCATTGTGGTTTGAGTTTAAACCATGAATTCCGTTGAATCAGGACGGCTGCTGTTGGCGGCGTGCGGCGGAGACACCGTGAAGCTGTTTGACCCCTCGTTGGAGCCTCAGAACCCTTGCGTTCTCACCTACTCTCCGTCTCCAGGCTCACGCGTAAATTCCATCAAGTGGAACCACAACAGTTAGTGCATTTTTCACTTGGTCTTTACTGGAATTTTCTCTGTGTTCTGTTCTTTCAAGTTTGATTTTGTTTTTCCATTTCTAATCGATTGCTGAATTAGTAGTTGGTTTCTCTCTGTCCCTCTCTATCTCTGTGTGTGTGCATAAAATTTGCCATTGCCAGATTTAGTTTTTGCCAGCGCCGGTGAAGATGGTAAAATATCACTATGTAAGAAAAACGGGCAAAGCTTGTGGATGGTGCCAGCCAAAAATGCTAAGGGCGAAATTGTTGAGGTACATTTGTCTGCTTTAAAATTGTTTTCTTGTTTGGTAGAAATTGGGATAGAGAAGTTTGAATTTGTGTGCATTTTCAGCCTTTGTTCCTGATTACGCTAGCCTTCGGTTTCAGTTCTTAACATGGCTAAGGTGTCGGTTATCTTAGAAGAAGATGTGGTATAATTTTGTATGAGTTGTGAGAATCAGCATTGCCACAAGTGAAAACCAATCCAATTTAGAGATTATGTGTCAGTGGGGTCGATTGTCCATTGCAAATGGAGCTGGAAGAGTCATTGTTGACAATTCTCCTGGCATAGTGCTAATAATGGACTAGATCAAAATGGCTCAATTAAATTCTAGTGCTTCTTCTATTAGTGAAGTTTCTAGAAAAAAAAATATATCAAACGGCGCAATGCACCTTGGGTCGCTACGGAAACAGTCTCCTTGTATAATTACAAGGGTAAGGTCTGCGTACAACTGACCCCCCAGACCCCAACCTGTTGGGAATATACTGGGTATGGTGTTGTTGTTGTTGTTGTTGTGTCAGTGGGGTCGAATGTAGTGGATGTGCACATACCATAACCTGAGATGGTTTTTAGGATTTAAATTACAGCTGTAATTTGGAGTGCCATTTTCTTGATAACTAGATGTTTTACCGTGTCACAACTTCTTTGTTCGGCCTGAGACTTGACTGTAGACCTGAATTTGACCTAAAACATTTGTAACTTTTCTCCTTTCATATTCCTATAACTTTCAAGCCGTCCGAGTCTATAGCAGCTATCAGCTTCAGCAATAAGGGATCTCGATATCTTTGCTCGGGTGGAACTGGTCAAGTTGTTCGAATATGGGATTTGCAGAACAAGCGTTGTGTTAAATGGTTGAAAGGTCATAGTGATACTATTACAGGTGCAATGTACAATTGCAGAGATGAACATATAGCTTCTGTCAGTCGTAAAGGAGACCTTATACTTCACAACCTTGCTTCCGGCACAAAAGCTGCTGAACTCAGGGATCCTAATGGACAGGTTAATTATAGGTTAATTATATTTTTTCCAGGCACTGGTGTTGCTGCATTGTGATTAGAATATATCTGCTCTGATCTATGTGCTTTTATTCTTTTGTTATCCTAAAATTACAAGACCAGGTTTTGAGCGCTCTAGATTATTCTAGAATGAGCCGGCACCTTTTAGTGACGGCTGGTGACGATGGATCCATTCATCTGTGGGACACAACAGGTCGCAGCCCAAAGGTAAGTTTATAATGGTGAAACTTTCCAATGGCCAAAGGGTTTACTACTCTCCTGCTTTAAATAGAACAATTAAACATGTGGCCTTTTTAAATTTTTATGAGCAGAGCATCTTCTGTGGAAAGATTTGGTTGATTTTCAACAAATGAACCCAAAGCTGTACTTAATCCTTTTCACGACTACAGTAGATATCCAAGTAATGCATATACTGACAAAATAATTTTGCTTGAGCAATTAGTGATTAACCACTTAATTTATTATGTGAAGATTTTCCCATACTTCAGGAGAGTGAAACTTAACAACAACACAGTTCAACCTACAAAGATACCTAGCAGCCGTAGGTCTTATTGAATTTCCAATGCTTCATTGAGTCATATTTTACTTGTAAAATCACAATTGTACAATTGATAGTTCTCTCAAAGTCCATGTGTTGCCCAATGCTCATCTTTTTCAAATAAAAAATAAATTAGAATTCTTTTTACTGTATGCTCCTGCCACCTTGGACATTCATTTTTCTAATTGATGAATATGATCCATCTTACTGGGGTCCTGGTGACCCTTCTTTTTGTCTTGTTACATTTTTGGACCATCTTTAAATTCCCTACAGTTTCAAAGCCCCGTCACTTGGATACTTGCTTTCGATCATATGAAGAAATAAACAACCCCATTTGGAGCTTTTCTCCAAATATATGATGTTATCTTTTCTCTTCAGACGGTGATCATGAATGTCTTTCTGTTTTTGCTTCAATGCAGAATAAACACTTTTTATGCTATTTTGGGTCATAGGCAGAGCACAAAATTGTTGCCCATTGACAAGCATGATTTAAGATGTTTAGGTATGAATTATGGAAAAGGACCACAAATTCACACTGTGATATTTGTTTCACCAACAAGCTGCTTTGTTGCTCTTACTTTGACTGCTCTATGTTGCCAATTAAGTTTTAGGATGACCTGATTCTGGGTCTGAATTTTGTTATATATAACTATATGCCTGCATGTAAGTTTGGTCTGTCTAACCCCACAATCTTCATTTCTTTAGACATCACAATTGAATCCTTGAATCTACACTGTTGATCTCCTTGTTTCAGTGAGTTCACCTGAGCGAGGTTTTAATGTTCTCATTCTGCATTTTCTACCGGGCTGTTACATTATAGTATATCACATTCACAGCCTATCCTTTTTACAGGCTTACTGGTTGAAACAGCATTCTGCACCCACCTCTGCTGTCAGTTTCTCACCATCCAATGATAAGGTCTCTACTCTCAAGTTTATCATTTTGGCTTGGATTTTTATGTTTTCTTAGGCCATTATAATCAAGCTGGTGTGACGTTTTTTCTGTAGTTACATCTCTTTTTCCCTTCTTGATTTGACAGATAATTGCTAGCGTCGGTCTGGATATGAAATTATACACTTTTGACACCGGATCAAAGAAGCCATCTTCTTGTATTCCTTATGAAGCACCGTTTTCTTCACTGGCATTCTCCGACGATGGATTAGTCTTGGCAGCTGGTACAAGCACGGGCCAGGTTGTGTTCTATGATGTTCGTGGGAAACCACAGCCAATAACTGTTCTTCGTGCATATGGGAATGCTGAGGTAAATTTCATGTTTTAAGGATTGTGGGTACCTTTCCAAATTCAAGATTTGTTGTATGAATGGTTTACCGTGTTAATGGTTGATTCAGAAAGCATCTGCAATATTAGTGTTATTCCATGATATAATGTCATTATAATTTGTTGTGTATTGACTGTTATCGAGAAAATCCAATATTTGTGTTTGTTATTTTACCTCCTAAATAGTTATTTGGAAGATATGAGGAACGCGTAATATCTTTTGCATATCAGACTTAGCTGACTGTAGGGTTGTGTAAAAGACCAATTGCTATGTGCTTATCCACAATACCTTCCATGTTTATCTTCTTCATCCAATGATTCTGAAGTAGCTTCACTATATTCACTAAACATGATTCCATCTGTATCAGGCTGTCACAAATCTATGCTGGCAGAGGTCAAAGCCTGTAATGGTTAATGAAAATAACTGCACAGACGAAACTATTCTTTTGGCTGGTGATGTTGGTGATTCCATCCTTATGCCTGATCCACTCCCTTCTAAATCGTCATCAAGCCTTTCAATGCCCTCAATGGTGTCCGGATCTCGAAATTCTACCTGTTCAGGTACCCCTGGAGATTTATATTCATTTCCTGCAGGATCTGCATTATTAGGTGGTCTAAGCTTACCTGCTTCAGAGGAAACACCTCTTCGCAGCAGCTTATTGACAGCCGGAAATCTTGGAAGGCTGCATGCACCTCGGAGTTATAACTTCAAGGATGATATGGAGGTTTTTTCTCCCTTAGTGGAAATCCAACCAATTACACCCTCTCTCGACAAATTGTGGGATGATCGGGATGGTGGAAACAAAGACCTTGATAGAAAACCATCTTTTCTGTTGTCTCGGAGGTTTGGCCTCCCAGAGCAAGGCTCCATCGATAATCATCCAATTTTGGACTGGAAAACAAACTCATCAACCAAGCAGGTCTGTGATTCTCTTTTCATCTGATCTTTAACCCATGAGTAATTTTCTCCCTCCCCCATACTCCCAAACTCAACAGAAACGTAGACATGATTTAAATCAGCACATTAAAGGCGTGCTTGGATACAAATATATCCACTCAAAACGAGTTTTTTCTTGATTAATCAGGGTTTATCTTGAAAAAAGTTGGTATGGTTAGTTGTTAGTGGGATTTTGAGTTTATATTAAAACATTATTTAAAATAAAATAATTAAAGTTGATTTGATGTATAAGTAGGGAGAGAAATGATGTGAAGTGATGGTTAGTCAGAATTATGCGAGTGTATGAATAGTGAATTAAAGTTGATGTGATATATAAGAATGATCGGTTGATATTATTTTTATTATATTGATAATATTGAAGATAGAGGGGTTTAGTTAAAGTTGAGTTAGATTTTGAGTATGAACCCAATGCTGTACTTATTCCTTGCAGGATGACATCAGTTCCACATCATCACAGTTGACATCTCCCCCTGCTGCATCTACACATAATGATGATGATTCTTCATCCATAACTCCTCCCGAAGATTGGGGTGGCCAGAGAACATCTGACAAGCTGAGTCACCATCATCGGTTAGCCAGTAACATGTCATCCCGGTTTGCAACATTAGCTGCCACAAATTCGTCAGTAGCAAAGTTGTCCGGATTACACGAGGCTAACTTTGATAGTTTGGGACCAGCTTTGTCTCTCCCTAGACGATTCTCCAGTTATGCAGAGAGAATAGGTGCAACACAAACAGGAACAGAAACCAGGGAAGAGCTTCTCAATAGCTTGTTGTCAAAGTCTGAGATAACATCTGCCACTGGAACCAGCGTCCTTACAACTACCAATGTAAGAAAACAATCATATCTTGCAGTCTTTTTAAATTTAGTGCGACTGTCTTAAATGATTCATCATCCTTGTGTCTGTCTCACTGTGAATGTGCGTTCCTTGCTTTCTCAAGAAATTCGGTGTTAGTACTCTATGGGGGCAAATTAAGTTGTATTTTCTGTTCCATGCATAGATGCTCAAAGTGTTCTATGGGGTGATTGGTAGGGGATCAAAACTGGTTTCGATCGATCAAAATTTGACTCACTCATTTTAACTCAAAATCTTACTCAAATTTAACTAACCTCATTATCCTCCATATTATCGATATAATAAAATAATATCAATCATCTGTCTCCTTTATCACATCAACTTTAATTCATTATTCACCCACTTACATATTTTTAACTACCTATCACTTCCATCATCTCTCCTACTTTTACATCCATCAACTTTAATCGTTACATTTTAAATATTATTTAATTACAATCTTTCTATCCCACTCAATCAACTATATTCAAAATAACTCACTTTGACTCAACATCCAATTTTGATCAATTTTTACTGGTTTTGACTCCCTACCGATCACCCTCTAAGAATGCATGGCACAATTTCTTACTCAGTTTTCCATAAATTTGTATTTAGGGTGGTGGAGTCACACAATTACAGAAAATACCCTCACAGCCCGAAGCACAGCAGGGAAATTCTTTTACTCTCCAGCTTTTCCAGCAAACACTTGAGGAAACTCTTGCTTCGTTTCAGAAATCTATTCATGATGACATGCGGAACCTTCACATTGAAATTCTAAGGCAATTCCATATGCAGGAGGTATGCTGAATGCATCTCATCTCTGGTCCTTTTTATATATGACTCGTGATCACTCTAATAGTCGAAAGTATGTTGCAGATAGAAATGTCTGGTGTCATGAAATCAGTGTTAGAAAACCAAGCTGAGATTATGAAAGAACTTCAATCTCTCCGAGAGGAAACAGAGCAGCTGCGGAAGTTGCTTTGAGTAACAGTCCAGCTTCTTAATTGCCATTTGAGTAAGTAATTTCGACTATTTTGTTTAGAAGTGAGTTCCATTTTGAGTAGCGTTGGTATTTGCGGAGCCCGAGCTTGACATTTGTTTGGTTACTGCTTACAGGTTATTTTCTTTAGCTTTCCGAGCGACTGAGAAGTTCAGGGAGCAACGTGTTTAGAAAGTCGGCGAGCAGTGGTTCAAGAAGCTAAATATGTA